CGGCCGTGAGCTAGATCAGCAGTTCTATTATCACCTTCAACAATATCTGCCCTGTTCGCATCCCACAGCTTGCCTTGCAGCACCACCTCCCTTTTTCTTGGCTGCAGAATTTAAACTTTGTATCTCTCATTTCCCAAATCCATTTTGCTACAGCATCTGTCCCTCGGGTCAGCTGTCCCTGCACTATCCTTGCCCAAGGCACCCACACACACACACACACATTGAAGGCAGGTTCATTACTCACAGGCTAACACCAGGAGTGTCCCACATAAATCATAATCCTCTAGGGGTGAACAGAAAATGTTTGAAGTGAGAAATGAAGTGAAACTCTCTGTATCCTTTAGAGCGAATGCCGTCTGATTTGCAGTTTCTCTCCTTGAACTTCCTCCCTGCCTCTGTCCCTGCCTGAATTCATTTTCCTGTGAGCTTGCCTCCTTTGCTTCCCTTTTCTCTCTTTTTATTTTTTGTAATCTTCCTCAGGTGATCCGAGATGTGCTGCTTTTAGGACACAGGCAGGCCTTTGCCTGGGTGGATGAGTGGATTGGTAAGTGCGCAGAAGATGACAGTCTTTAGAAAACCTGGGTTAGTTTCATGTGCAGGCATTGACTCATCTCACGATTGCACCCACTTCACATACATTTTTCCATTTTAAGATGGAGATCATAGACTGTATGCAAAGGATGGACATAGCTAGCATGACATTATCAATTTGTTTATTAATTTCATCAACTTTTAGCTTTGTGACCATCTCCATCTGGTGTTTTTGGAGTTGGAAGTATTTGGATATATTTGTCATATTTGGACATGAGCATAGTGTGCTAAGTTATCAACTAAATGTTAGCAAGCTCTTTTTAGCAGGGTGTATGCATGCAGTGTATGGGTACCATGCACAGGAACAGATACCTGTTAATAATTCTAAATAGGGTAAATGCTAGAACCTCCACCAACAAAAACAGAGAAAAGACTCCCTGAATGGCCTGTTAGGACAATTAACCACGAATGATAACATATAAAATGTTCCACACTAGATGGGTGACTCCAGTTAGCTGTAGTGTCACCTCTGCTAATTGGTTTTGCCACATCCCACCTCCTCCTACAGAAGTGTGGCCGGTTTGTGTATTTTTGAAACTGTCTTAGAAACTTTGATTTTTCATCTTGTTGATGTCAGAGGTTAGAAGAGAATGCCCAGACTGCTTTTATAGGAAGAGAACATTAACTCAAATTCTCATTATAATCAAGGTATGAAGAACAACATCTCTGATTGTGCAACATGTCAAACTGTAGAGCAGATGGACAACAGCAAAAGACCGCAGGTGTGACTACTGTCAGCTAAGAACGGGAAACTGAGAGTACAGTTTTCTCCTGACACGTATTTCCCTTGAAGCAGTTCGTTGTAAGACCTTGAGAAACCTGTGTGCAATATTTCCACATTTGCAGCCTCACCACATTAAATAAATCTGCAAAGTCCCATTTCCAAAAAGCTCGAGATGCTGTGGACATTGAAAATACAAAGAAGTTGTAAATCTTAAAGTCATATTTTATTCACTGTAGAACACAGAAACCATATCGAATGTACCAAAGTAAGAAAAACATTAGCTCATTTTGAATTTGATGGCAGCTACACGTCTCAAAACAGTTGGGACACGGCCCTGTTTACTGCTGTGTAGCATCCTCTCTTTTTTAACCATGAACATCTGGGAACTTAAGGATATGAGCTGCTTGATTTTCTAGCTTTTTAACAGTCCTGGGTCTTCTTAGCTCCATTTCATATTTCATGATGGCCTGAACCGCAGGCAGGCCAGTTCAGCACCCCACTTCTACTACTACTAAGCTCTGTTCTGAAACACATCTGTTTAAATACTTGATGTGTTTTCTATGTTTTATTGTTAATAAATTATGTTTATTAGAATTGCACATCTCTGTGCTTATATCACATAAAAACTGCATTAAAATCTAATAAAAACAATTCTAAAGATTCCTTGTCTCTCTTATATGGGGACATGGATAGCTCAGTAGGTATTATTAATATTATGTCACTGCTCCAACCCAACAGACATGACCATGGATGAAGTAAGAGAGTACGAGCGTGCCACGCAGGAAGCCACCAACCTGAAGATTGGCACTTTCCCCCCTACCATTTCCATCTCAGAGAACCCCCTGCCATCTAGCACCCGCAGCGGACCCAACAGCGCCCCGTCCACTCCCCTCTCCACCGAAGCCCCTGATTTCCTGTCAGTGCCCAAAGAGCGACCCCGGAAGAAGTCTGCTCCAGAGACTTTGACCCTACCTGATCCAGGCCGCAGGGATTCACTCTTCAAGCTTCCAAGCTTTTTCTCCTGGAACTCCAGTCCGCAACCAGAATGAGAGCGGGGCTAAGCCGCTGTTAAACACCCCTGACCTGCGTATTAGTGGAGGATGCCTACCCAGCACATCCTGCAATGTTCCCTCAGCCATCTGAAGAAGAAGTGACTGTCCTGGTGATCCCAGCCCCTCAGCCGACTCGCCGGCGTTCCAGCAAAGCCAACAGCTCTCAGACTGCCTTTACAGGTACAGCTAGGCATCCACAGCAAGGCCCGCCAAGTGTAAAGGTGTAGTAAATCCCAGTGAGAGTCCAACAAAAGCACCTGCAGGCTCCTCATCCTTCACTTCTCCTTAGAAAACAGCCAGTCTGCACCTTTCATTAATCAGTATGGAGTCCAATTAGCCTGACTGAGTGTAGCATACATTCCTGAAATCGTTTTATCCCACAGTGTCACCTTGTTTTCATCCAAGCTCAGGGTGTGTTGGTGAAAAGATATCGAGAGACTCAGTGCACATAAACTTAACATTTGTTTTCTGCTTTATCTTTAAACATCTCTGGCTTTGTTCATTTATTTGGTAACTGAATTATGTAGTTGGGACTCTTGTTGGCCACTGTAACAGTCGAGTATTATGGTTTTCACAGTCTGATGTAAGGTGATTGTGTATTCTTGTATATACTGTATGAAAAATATAAATGTGACTCAAAAAGAATATCATGTCAAGTGATGAAGCTGCTTTGACATTTCTGTAATGTGTCTCAGCAGCCATGATGTCTTCATGAAACAGCATGATTCTTGACTACCGAGGCTGCCCTTAAATATTTGTGAACTGAATGTTTTCCTTATCTGAGCCTCATATGTGATGTCGTGTTTTACAGGAGTTTTTACAGACTTGGTCATGTGGTGTTGTTTTGCTGCTGTATTGACTTCATTGTGGTTTTATTGTGTTCATTTACTGTCATACTATTGATGGGTTTTGTATTCAGTAAATGAAAGTAAATACTGCTGCATCCGTTACTGTGTGGAGAGTTTGTTAATGTGATCTATCTGAATGGAAAGACAGGCTTGTGGCTCATTCAAATGCAACTTTGGAAACCAAGTCATGCTATTGTGGAGAATCCACTTAGCCAAAAAAAAACAAAAACGGATCAGACATCAATTGCAAAAACGCTAGTCTTTATATAGGGCTTCAAAAGGGGATGTACAACAAATAAACTGCTCGACATCAGAGCAACATATAATGGCTTCCCGAAACTTTCTTTGCTAGCTAAACCCAGAGTAACTTTTGTCTACCACAAAGGATTCTGGGAAACGCAGTTTTCTAATGAAAATACCTGTTAAATGCTCCCTTTTAGCAGAAAATTTAATCTATAATTAACAGCACTCACTAAACATGTGGCTAACACTTAAATCACTTACAAAATAACCAAAATGCTGTTATCAAACAATAAACTGCAATAAAGTTACAACATATGCTGTATAAATTAGAATGAGAATCAGAATACTTTATTGATCTCAGAGAAAATTTTGTGGCCAGATATGCTCCATGACAGTAAGAACAGTAACTAACAAGTTAAATCAGCAGTATTAAATAAGACAATATATTGCAAAATAGCTCTAATATATAAATATCTCAACATATTACGTGAAATTGTATATAGATGAAGCTGAAACTGAGTTCCCCCTCTCATCATACTGCAGATAATTTATCTGAATTTCAGGAGCAAGGCCACACCCCCCTACATGCCACTTTCTGTTCCGTCTACATGCTCAACTTTTGCTACCTTTTTCAATTCATACACTTCTCATTAGTACAGGCGATCGCCTCTGAGGCCTTTCCCACGACATCTGCCAATATCTGCAAGAAACACTGTCAAACCTAAATGAGGATGTTGTCACAGCTAATGGACTCTTTGGTATTTTCCCTGCAGATATTAAGGAGATGCAACTGCTGTGCAGTGTACTTATGCTTTAGATGGAGGAATTGTAAGAGAGTAAGCAGTATGTGGGCATTTATGCAAACAGAGTATGCATCCAACATGCCCACATTCAGTTATTTTAAATATGTAAACCCTGTTGTGAGCTCTTTGTCCTCACTTATTCATTTTTCATCATTTAGGGGGCATGTGATGACCCATGCACATGTGCCAAACTTCAATATGTAAACGGTTTTTTTAATAAAAGGTGTCAAAAGGCATACGATTCATATGCACACCTCTAGTGAACACTATGTTCATCCTGGTCTACACACCACACATGCAAACACAATTCCTTAATCCAAACTTTATTGAAAAAATTATTACGTTCTTGTTTTTCGGCGGTCCCTTGGCCCCACTTGTTTTACCGTTTTATTTTACCCCACCAACTTACTTGACTTTTCGTTTGGCGTTCCTTCCCTTCCCCGTTCTTCCTTGGTTTTTATTGCATTAATTTTTAGTTGTTTTTTTTTTTTTTTGCCCAAAACCAACACAAAAGCTTAATTTTGTTGTATTCTTTTCTTGCAACTTAATGAAGTCGAACAGTTTGTGTAAAATGACACAAAATGCTCAAAGTGTGCAAAGTTCAGTTTGAATATTCAATGTTAACACTTATCTTTTTAAAGCAAGTATCCACAAACCTTGAAATCCCACATGAAATTCATGTTTTTAAAAAAAAAAAAATCCTGCTGTTTTTTTGCGCCCCCTCCTCTGATGTCATCACAACAAACATAATGTAGTAATTTTTCTGTCGTGATATGTAAACACAACAGAAACAAATGATGATATTGACCCAGTTGACACATTTTTTTCAGTGCAAGAAAATAACAAGGCATAAGTTAGTTTCCAATGTGCGTGATTGTGTGTGTTGCTCCCCTCCACCTTCATCATCTTCTGTTAAAGTCTTTGGCGATGACATTTGTTTCCTGTTTCTCCTTGAAGTTATGCATGGCGTTGACAAAAAATTCATACCAAAAAAAGGTGAAGCCTGTTGACAGCGCAGCTTTTACGAGACTGGGGGACAGGCCTTTGAAGAATCCTCGGAAGCCCTCCTCTTTGGCTATTTGAACCATGCAGTCGAGCAGACCTCTGTAGCTCCGCACCTGCACAGGACAGACAGAAGACAATGCTTCAACATCAAACCCAGAGCGCTTAATCAAATATGATGAAACATGCTGTTGAGGAGCTTACCTGTCCAAAGTGAGCTCTGGCTGCTTCAAAGCCCCCCACCTGCAGTCTCTTCTTGAACAGATCGAATGGGTACGTGATTGTTTTGCTGATCATTCCAGCTCCACTCCCACAGACCAGGCTTTTTAAGTTTCCTTGAACATAAAAAGTGACAGGATTTTAAACTGAACCCTGTGCAGGTGTAAACGCTGCACAATTAAGAGTTTCCACTCACCTCCTGAGTTCCCAGCTTCGGGTTGTGGAGCCAACAACTTTTTAAAGATATTGTAGAAGAAGAACTGCAGGCCAGCGTAAGGAAACACAGCCATGAGTGTTGGTGACAGGCCGCGGTAAAATGTTAGAGTTCCTTCTGATCGCCACATTGTAGACACAGCATGTCGCAGGTTCCTGTACACCTGGAAATAGAAAACTGGGTTTCAGCAGTATACAGCAAGCGATTCTGCCTAAGGCAGGAATTCGAGAATATTTAACATGCTTTATGAATATTTCATCGTTGTAAGACTTGAAATGGTCTTCAATGCTGTTGGTAGTGTGGGAAACAAAAACTTGTTTCCAAATCCTCAAATATTTCTACATTCGCCTAATTAAACGTATTTGCATATCTCTGTCCTCAACAGACAAGTGAGAAAAAATTAATACTGGATGCCCGTGATCATTTTGGGTCCTCGGGTGGCATGATTCGGTCATGGAAATCAGTGCATGGGCTCAGGAACACTTCCAGAAATCATTACATGATCCACAAATGTAGGTTAAAGCTCCCTCGTGCAAAGATAAAGTCATATGTAAATGCCACCTTCACGTTCTCTGAACCAAAGCTCATTTAAAATGGACTTTGGCAAAGTGAAAAACCTGTTCTGTGGACAGACTAATCAAAACTTTTTACTTCTTTTGGAAAATATTGATGCTGCATTCTGCAGACTAAAGAGCAGAGGCACCATCTGCATTGTTATCAGAGCTCAGTTCACAAGTCTGCACCTCTGGTATGACGGTGCGTTAGTGTCTCTGGAATTGACACCACTGATGCTGAAAAAATATACACAGGTTGTAGAGCAATATGCGTTTCCACTTAGGCAACGTCTTTTTCAGAGAAGGTCCTGCATACTTCAGCAAGACATATGCTAAACTAAATACTGCATCTATTTGTATGTAAAGGTTTTAGAACAACATGTGCTCTTGTGCTCTGAGGGCCTCTGGATGTCTGGAGCCTGGATCTCCTCCATACCTGCTTCTTGCCCTGGAGGACGGGGCTATGGCCCCCCCAACACCCTCTAGCAGATCATTACATGAAGGAACCTTTTAAATACAAGCGCACTCATGCTCACAGGTGTACACACGGGTGCTCACAGACACAAACTACACCCTTTTTGGCTCCTACCTCAAAGCACACGGTGTGCTGTCGATCCTACGTGCTGCACAATAATATTCAATATTTAGTATTTACTGTTATATTCACATCGATCATTGCAATGATGTTGTTTATTATATTGCTCTCTTTTTCCCCCCTTTCTCAACAGGTGATCCAGAAGATTGATATGTATTTTTTTTTTCCTGTTTGTTTTTGTTTTTTTTCCCCTTTATCACCGTTCCTCTTCCCTGCTGTTTTTCTTTCCCTACCTCTCTTTCTTTCTCCCCTTTCTTTCCCCCAGTCATGTCTGTCCCGTGTGTAACATCTGAAAATAAAATAAAATAAAGAATAAAAACAAAGTTGAATCAAATAGACCAATACGGCAAGGCCGGGATGATCCATTTGGTAAAGTAAATCCGTTGGGCATCTTTCTTCGCCTTTAGACAATAATTCTGATGGCAAAAGAAAAAAGGGACAACATATGCTCCCATCCATACAAAATCCGGCAGCTGGTCTCTTCAGTTCTCAGACAACTACAGCCTGAACAGCCTGTTCCAAAGTGGTAAACAATATGTTATAAGATACGTTTCTGTTATCAAATTTAAAATGATTTAACATTTTTCTTAAAAATTTCTCAGTTTAAACACTTACTATATTTTCTGTACTCTTTAGTGAAACAATGTGACTTTATAAGATGTGCAAGTCATTGCATTCTGTTTTTATTTACATTTTTCACAATGCACCAAGTTTTTTGAAAGTAGGACTGTAAAATAAAAACCTGTATAACGAGCTGATGTATGAAATCCTGTCAAACATTGACAGCGATCAGGATAAGAAATGATTAGTCCCACCTTGGGTTCTCCCTGAGCTGCAAAGCGTGTCCGCAGCGTGTCCAGAGGCTGGCAAACCACTGTGGCAGAGCAGGCTGCCAAGCCGCCACAGACGAAATGAACGCCTGCTGTCTGGCTGTCATACAGCGTTTTCTGATGGACCAACTCTGTCAGAAACTCAAAACTCGCAAACTGCAAATTGGACACAATAAAAGCAACTGTGTTGTTGAGATTGTTTAGAGTATTATAATTGTTCCACTTAGCCTGCAGTTCACAGTTTGCAGGTTGTACCTGGACAGCTCCGTAGCAGATAGAGAGGAGCTGTGCTGGGATGTGGCCCTTCCAGAAAGCAGACAGTCCCTCCTCTAAATGAATGCAGCGTGTTGCCTGAAATATCCCATAGTACTTCCCCTGTGGTGTTTTTGAAGACACGCGCTCTATCTGCAGCTACAGGGGGGAAAATACAGATAAGAACACAACACATGACCTGCATTTATCAGGCTTCAAAAATCTCTTGATTAAAGTTGTTGTTTTTTGGGTTTTGTTTTTTTTTGTTTTTTTTAAACTGAATGCAAATGTTTGCACATGCTTTTAGTACAGTCACCAATTGGAAGGTCACAGCTGCTACTTCACGGTAATCTTCAAAGTGAGCACGAATTCTCACTTCTGGGCTCTCTTCTCTCACCATTTGGACGCAAGTCTCACATGTTCCAAAACAAGTACACATCCTTACCTGAAATCTGATTTTAATGACATCAAAAGGACTGATGAGGGCTCTGGTGACCATCCCAGCAGCTGAACCAGCGAAGGCCGCCTCCTTTGGGGACAGAGGTGCACCCTGGACACCAGGGTCATAGCCCACCATGTCTCTACAGCCTCAGGTTTCTAGAAACTCTAATGAGACAAATGACAAACCCTTTGTTCAGTTTAACACAGTTAAAAACAAACTTTAATTCAAGTTTAAATAGATAAAGATAATCTTAACTGCATCACGTTTGGTGAGATGAGCTTGTTTTGTATGTATAATCTTAAGCACAGGTGTTTCCAAACTGTATTAAAGTGACTATTTTGATATTTATAACAACAGTTACATGCTAGATGTTATAAAACCTCCAGTTTGGTTTTGGGGGATGGACTTTCGAACAATACACAGTAATATATAACTCCTATATACGTTTCATGAAAATGAGAAATGGGTGTTTCCCCATTTAGCACATTTCGTTTACTGAAATGTGCTAACATACATGGGAATGCAGTATATATTCTGTAGATTTTTTATACTGTTCTAACAAGCTTGAAAGTCAATATTTTATATGACCACCTTTATTGTACATCACAGCCTGAAGTCTCTTAGAAAAGCTTTCTTGTAATTTCTTTAAGTAGTCTTCCGGAGAAGTTCCCCATGCATGTTTGGGATCACTGTCATTCTGAAAGCCTCCACCATGTTTTACAGATGGCTTTTCTCCTTGTCTCCCTTCCTTAAGCATGGCTTCTTGACATCGACCCTTACACTGAGACTATTTACAAGGAGACTTCAGTGAAAAGTTGATGGATCACCTGCAGGGCCAGTTGGATCTCTCGCGCCCTGTGTCGGTCTTTACTATTTCTTAAGGACATGGCTTTCATTTGCCACCCACCAGTCCAGTTTCCTCAAATGTTTTAAGGATACACAACAGTGGTTGATAACTTAATTAGTGTGCCATTTTATGCCTGAATGACTCATATGCCAGTGTTCAGTAGTTCAACAAACAAACTGAAAAACAAAATTTTATAAGCCTGGAGAACTATTGCTCACACCACTGAAAAAATGTCAACTATGTCTGGCTCCTCCGAAGTAAAGTATTAAAAAAACGAAACGACGGGTGGCTCAAGACTTTTTCCTAGCAGCTGTTTCCACAACATTACATTTACAGCTTCACCCACGTCATTCGTGTTTTGTTAGGTGTCTGTTAATGGCTGGTTTTCTTCTATGTTCACCATTTATAAAATTATAACACAACCATAAAATGCCATAAAGACCAGAAAAATTAAAAAGAAAAAAACAAGACATGTGGAGGACATATAATAAGACCTTGGAACTAGCTAAACTAAGCTAAGGTAAACTAAGAACAGAGCAGGCATTAACTTGGTTATAATGGTAACAGAAGCAGACAAATATCACCGTACCTTCATAAATACCACATCAGTTCCAACAGTGAACCTCAACTGGTACAGTTCAAAATTAGTAGAACAGGAACAGATTTCTACTTCTTGCTAGCACGCTCCTAATATTACTGCCGGGTCGGAAGAGTCTCTCCAAGACGAAATATCACGTCAAGATAAGTCCCTACCTCACTACACCGTGTCAAATTCAGCAAGTAACTACTTAAAACTCACATCCTCTTTTATTTAGGACATCTATGGCGTAGACAGGCCTCGAAAGTACAAGACTAAGGCCTTCGTTTACGTTAACTTTGGGTTAGGCGAAGACCATAGGGTCTGCGGCGAAGAAAAGAGAGGAGGGACTCATCTTTCTGTTGATACTTCATCTTCGAAAGGTTAGGGTTGCGTCGAGGAAAGGCTGCCTACCAGAGCATACCTCTACCTGAGCGTAGATGTGACACATTGGCATTAAATAGGTATAATTGTCACATAATTATCCTCCATTTTTTGGTCAATTATTTAACTACCGTTTTCTTTCAGTTCGGGAAAATATTTACCCGTTTGTATCTTTCAGCGGGCGGTTATAACGCAAGTGTAGGTTGGGTATTAAACTCCACTCTGATTCGTTAGCGTCAATGCTAGCCGTTAACGTTTGGTTTCCACTACAGCTGTAATGGATGTTAATGTTGTTGAAAACAAAGCTACCGTTAGACGAAGTTTTACGTGTTCTTACACTAAACTAACGTTACCTAGTTGAATATGGAAGTAACATTGGTGTGTCACATCACAAGTTGAAGATAACTTGGCTCATGCTTGGTTGGGTGTTCGGTGAACTTTTTAGTTGACCTGGGTTGTATAATCCCCTCCATCCCTCAGTGAATGAGCCGCGGCCGGGGGCCAGCCAATTTGATGACTGTACAGGATTTTGCATGTATTGTGGTCACCAAAAGTGCCCGGATGTCTCCGACTGTGGCCTTTTGATCTGTCTCTGAAAAGCTTATATTCTGCATGAAAACGCTTGCAGTAACTGTCTGATTTCCACAGGTGACAGCCCTCCCGTGTAATTTGTTTACTTGCATCTGTAATGGAAAACTCTGCTGAAGACTACCGGATCCAGTCATTTGACCTGGACACGCAGAGGTTACTAAAAACAGCCTTGAAAGGTCAACCCTTAACTTCTTCATGTGTGCCATTTTTGGGTGCTGTAAAAAAAAAAAAAGCACTTAAACATATTCTCTCTTTTCAGATCCATCTCTGGTGAACCTGGAGAAAGTATCCAACATCATTGTGGATCAGTCTTTGAAGGACCCCGTGTTCAGCAAAGAGGCTGGGCGTATTTGCTACACTATAGTGCAGGTCAGTAAGTCCCACCTATATATTACATTCAAGCTCCCACTTTTTGTCCACCCTCTCACTGTTATCTGCCTGACACTTTGCTTGACACTTTCTGCAGGCTGAAGCCAAGCAGAGCAATGGAAACGTGTTCAGGAGACACTTGTTGAACCGACTCCAGCAGGAGTTCAAAGAACGCGAGGAGATGAGGGCACGCTCTCTGCAGGAGTGGGTGTGCTATGTCACGTTCATCTGCAACATCTTCGACTACCTCAAAGTAAGAGGCAGAGAGAGTTTTGAGTATTAAAATTTAGGAAAGGGAAACGCAAAGCAGCTTTGTTAAATCACTCTGATTAAAAATGGAACCTTTTCATTGTCCTTATTAAGAGGACATGCTGCTTTTTTTTTTTTGTTTTTTGTCCGTGGTGCCGACCACCTCCTCTAGCTGCATCTTGGGGGTCCTAATATGTTAGCTGTAGCACATTTAAGTGTCCAGGAACAACCACTAAAATTTGAACAGATCCTAATTATGCTGCTTCTAAAATCTAGGTCATGTCTCATTTAGTAAGGTGTTTATTCATTGGCAGTGTAAAGATGAGCCTGAAAGGTGTGGTGCTAACACACTCAGGTTCCATCCATGCTTGGAGCCACTGGCATTTTAAACAGAGTGATCCTTATTGTAAGACTACTCAATCCTGGCTTTTGTGTAAGAGAAATCAGAGTCAAGGACTTAACACAGTTTCCTTTTGTTTTATGTTGATAATACTGAGCTGCTGTAAGGACTCTCCACACTGTGTTTTTTAGGTGAACAACATGCCGATGGTGGCCCTGGTTCATCCTGTGTATGACTGCCTGATGAGGTTGGCCAAACCAGACGCTCTAATGAATGAGGATGAGGTGAGGAAGATATCTGGAGAAAGTGTTTATCAGTCATTTGCATATAAGTGTAAAAGTCCTATAGTGGTTTTCAGGACTGACTGGGGGAGTGGGGTTGTTTTGTATAGTCAGTCGATATACCTCCTGTTCCACTGGGTTGTTTTTGTCTGACTACAAATGCATATACAGTGGGGCAAAAAAGTATTTAGTCAGCCACCGATTGTGCAAGTTCCCCCACCTAAAATGATGACAGAGGTCAGTAATTTGCACCAGAGGTACAC